TATCACGGATGTAGATATAGATAGCTCGTCGGAAAGCCGTGGTCGATCGTTAATACGTGGGCGTGTTAGCCAAGTGCCAGATAACGCGAGAAAAGTCACAATTTCTCGCGCGCTACGGTGTACGGCATTAAAACAAAACAGCACCAACTGTTCGAAAACGCGAGCGAAATATATGCGAGAAAGGGTCGTGACTAAAAATATACTCTCCAGGAAGGTCGTCGTATGTATTCGAAAAATGTTTCGTCAAAATGAAAATACATGTATATGTGTTACCGGCCAAACTCGATTTTAAGATAAACTAGTTTCGCCTAGGCCAAATCTAGTTTACCCTGAAATCGGGCTTGGCCGCGCAGGAATGTTACTCTTTTTTCGCGCAACGGTACACATTTATTCCGGAATTCTTTCGTAGCAGGTTGTCGTAAAGTTCCGTTGCTGTATATACATGTGTGTGTTATATGTCAACATCCTATACGGAGGGGGGAGTTCATCCGAGTCACCCGATTTTTTCGTAAACGCGACATTTTAGAGAAAAATGTTTCAGACAAAAGTAATAGGGCTTTAAAAGATCTATTTACTGACGCTATGAATTTAATCTTGGGATAACCTTGAAAAGCCCAGTCAAGATCAACATAAAAATCTTAAATGGAAACCCTAATTTTTTATTACACCGTCTTTTTCCACCAATTAATTTGAACAACTTTTGTCTGAAATATTTTTTTTTATTTGCCAAAATATTTTTTTAGATATTTAAGGAAAACTTGATAACTTTTTCAATATTTAGCTTGCGATATCTCACTATTTGTCAGAAGAAAAAAGAGTACTAGACTTTTTTATTACTTTTAGTCTCAAGAATATATTGTTAAAATAGAGTCCTGACTTTTGTAAACTTACTGACTTTTAGAAATTACAAAATCATCAAATTAACAAAAGTCAGGGCGCTATTGTAAAAATATATTCTTGAGATTAAATAAAGCAAAAGAGTCCAGTAACTTTTTCTTCCGACAAATAGTTAGCAAGAAAAATTTCGAAATTTTGAATTTGTAACAACGTCGAATGACAAGAATAAGAGCTCCGTTGTTCGCTAGCACCGCAATATTTTAAGACTCCAAACCGTCCTTGTGGTTGTGTGTGTGTGTGTGTGTGTGTGTGTGTGTGTGTGTGTGTGTGTGTGTGCGCGCGTGTGTGCATGTGTGCATGTGTGCGTGTGTGTGTGTATGTGTGTGTGTGTTCATTCCAAGGATAAATACCCCGTGGTTCGTCAATTCCACGATATTTCACGATTCCAAACCCTTCTTGCGGCGTGTGCGCGCGTTTATATGTGTATATATCATATGTAAAAGAGAGAGAGAGAAGCAAAGAGAAAGAGGGGGAGAGGATACTGCATTAGTAGCGTGTGTGCCCACCTCTTGCATGGATTACTTCCTCCATGCGACGAGGCATATGACCTTATGACCGTTTGAATTTCGACCTGGGTAATGTTATCCCATTCAATTTTAAGAATTCTTCGAAGTTCTGGCAATAATTGTGGAGCAGGTACATGATTGCGTATTTTTCTGCCGAGATTGTCCCAAAGATGTTCAATGGGATTTAAGTCTGGACTCATAGCTGGCCATTCGAGTGAATTGATGCCTACTTTCCTGCAGAAATCCCGTACTCTACTTGCAACGTGTGGTCGCGCATTGCGGCGGCACAAGGCGAGAGTCTCGCAACTCAATCGGATAAAGAACATGTAATAGTGCAGAGTCTCCTCTTTAAAATGTTTTTTTAATCGTGTCGATACGATGATTTCTCGCCGAATTATTCACATTTGAAGAAAAAAGCAGTGTTTTACTTTAAATGCGAATTATTCGGCGACAAATCATTGTATCGAAACGATTAAAAAAGCATTTTAAAGAGAAGACTTTGTACCATCACATGCTTTTCATCCGATTGCGTTACGACATTTGACTCTCGCCGTGACAAACTCGGACAAATATTTTTCAATTTCGTATGCTCTCGCTTTGTCATCCGCCATTTTCAATAAATTTTTCTCGTTGCATTTAAATAAATCGGTTCTTTAATTAAAGATTCCAAGCTTTATTTTTATTTTTTAAAGACCTTTCTACCTTTATTATTTACCAAGTTATGATCATTTGAAGTTTGGTAAATTTTTCCCACATTTTAAGTGTACCGCTTTTTTGGGAGTGAGGTCAGATACTACCCAACACTAGTTACGATAAACGTATACAACACTTGCATCAATTAAAGGATATATTGCAGGATTTGTGTGAAATATGAATGTGAAGATAGAAAAAGTTAGAAAAAGAAGATAGAAACAGCTAGGGTTGCATCTAGCAACCCTAGCTGTTAGATTTCATCAATTCTTCCGAAGAGTGCAACAAACTTCTTGGCAAGATGACGTATCGCATTCTATAAATTTCAGTCGTTACATGATTGACTAGATTGAAAGGAAGCACCAAGTCCCTCTCTTTCTCTCTCTCCCTCTCTCTGATTGACAGTTACGATTGCCATCTGTATAAAAATACGTATCAAATATTAAATCTTCGAATAAATTAATATTAAGTTCAAATTAAACATCGTGAGATACTAATAATCATTATAAAATTAAACATTATTTATATTTTTACAAACATATGCATATTGCACTATCACATATAGTATCACATCGTTATCGTAAAAAAATGTTATGAAAAAATACGCACCAATACCCAATAAAATACCCAATACAATATTTTAATATATTAAAATAATATTATGTTTAAATTAAACATATAATTTTATACGTTAGTAAAAATAACACATAATTATTATTTGATTAAAAATTTATAAAAATTCTTAGAGTGTGTTAAGACTTTGTAACGCCTGGCGTGCGTCCGTGCGGGTCCTTCCCGCTAAGGAATGTTATCGAGGGGTCTCAGCGAGGCGCGGCTCGCCGGAACCCAGCGGCGGGAAGGGATCGCGCTCAATTATTTGCTCTAATATTGATTTAATAGCTTTATTTAGAAGTGAACAGTGCTGAGGTATAGTGGGTGGTGCGTGCGGCCGGTGGGTGGTTGCTTGTCGAGCTCCGTCCGCGGAAAAGTTCGGGGCCGGTGGGCTGCCCGTGGCTCTTCGGGCCACTGGTTCGCACGCTGGGACCCGGTCGAGGCTATCCGCGGGGATCTTTTCGTTGTCTACGGCGGGCGAGCACCCTTGTCTTTGAGATGGCGAGGACACGCGCCACAGGCAGTGAGCGAGTACGCTCGCTCAGGGAGCGCGGCGAGAACGCTCACCCGGGAGAAGTCGGCGAGGACACTCGCTCTCGGGATGGCGAGTACGCTCGCTATTAGAAAAGGTGGCGAGTACGCTCGCGTGAGAGAAGGTGGCGAATACACTCGCTTGATAGAGGGTGGTGAGTACCCTCGCTGTTATAGAAGGAGGCGAGTACGCTCGCTTGATAGACGGTGGCGAGTACGCTCGCCCGGGAGAAGTCGGCGAGGACACTCGCTCTCGGAATGGCGAGTACGCTCGCTTTTAGAAGGTAGCGAGTACGCTCGCCCGGGAGAAGTCGGCGAGAACACTCGCTCTCGGGATGGCGAGTACGCTCGCTTTTAGAAGGTGGCGAGTACGCTCGCCCTGGAGAAGTCGGCGAGGACACTCGCTCTCGGGATGGCGAGTACGCTCGCTTGTAGAAGATGCCGGAGAACTCTCAGGCGGGTCGGTGCCTCGTCTTGAGGCATCGGAAGACAGGTGTTCTTGCCAGTCGCACGGCGCCTTATATTGGCCACCCGTGCGACTCTAGTTCGTTCCCCTTCCGTATCGCGCGACACGGGGGGCACGTGATGATCGCATGCCGCGCGCGCCGAGGGGGTTCTTGCCTCCACGCGCACGCCGCGTGCTCGCTCGCTCTCTCGCTCCCGTCGCTCGCTCGTTCTTATCGCTCCTCTCGCTCGCTTGCATCCTATGCAGGGTGCTTTCCCGCGGACTGCATTCGGCTCGGCCCGATACGTAACGATCGTATCGTTACAACTTAAAGCTATTATTCTCTCTCTCTCTCTCTCTCTCTCTCTCTCTCTCTCTCTCTCTCTCTCTCTCTCTCCTCTCTCTCTCTCTCTCTCTCTCTCTCTCTCTCTCTCTCTCTCTCTCTCTCTCTCTCTCTCTCTCTCTCTCTCTCTCTCTCTACCTCTACCTCTCTCTCTCTCTCTCTCTCTCTATCCATCTCTCAACGATTATAAAAAATAGGTAAAATATAATCTCTCTTCTTCTCGTATCATATAGCCCGGAGACTTTTTCTCCTGAACCGGAGAGCCGGAGTTTTTATGTTTCGGCCGGGGGACTCCGGAGACTTTTGCGGTAAATCGTTCAGAATGGTTCTATCGAAGACTTACGATTAGTTTCATTCTGCGGGAAAGCACCGTCAGCTGCTAATCTTAATGGAATGGAAATTTAATCAGTCTGTTCCATGGACACGACGAACTGGAATAAATGGGAATAGTTGCAGAAATGTAAAATTGGACGCGAAAGTATCCGGGCGATTCTGTAACCCGAGTGAAAAGTAGGACGGATCGTCCGACGGCGTGCGGAAATTGGAGCCGAGGAAAATATCTCGCACGAAGTATCGCGACCCTCTCGCAATAAATCCATGAGCGTGATGTTACGTAACCGTGACGTTACGTTCTTTTTCCGTAAAGCGCATTTATCGCGTCTATCGCACTATATTTATCACTCGGATCCGACGTCATTAGGCGCATCTTCTCGCCCTATTTACCTTACACACTTATTTTTTATTGCGTATCGTACTACTCCCACAATTTCGAGTGAAACGGGAGTACCCGGTGAAAAGGTAGATCGAAGGGAGAAAAGAGCGAGTAAAAAAAAATCCCCGCTCCTTTCTCGAATGGCATTTATATATTCGAACGAGATACACGCGACTGGGATTCCGTTTGGAATTTCGCGAATGCTTTTATAAGTGGCGATCACTGAAATACTTTACACGTATAAAATATTTACGTATATTTACCTTCAGTGTATTGGAAGCTTCTATATCTAGTCCGTAATTTCTCTTGTTTCAGATTTGGTGTGCTACGGATGTGATTCCCGTAGTACTCCATCCTTATAACTTGTCAATAACGCCAACCATGGAAACGCAGAGCGAGGTAAGGGCACCTAAAACATAATTATACCAATAATATCATTTCTCCTGCTCATGACATATACAGTGAGTAAAAAACATTTCGCTCTCCGCTCGCTTTATAACCTCACGCGAAGCAGAGGAACGCCGCAATGCAAAAGGTTTCCGTCATTTCATTTTCATATAAATCAATTAAAAAGCTTCACCGCAATGCTCTTTGTCGTCTTCGGTACAATAGTGTCTCGACAAAAGACGAGGACAAAATGAACGTGCGAGAGACTGCGCGAATATATTTCTTCGTCCGTTGCAGCGGGTAAATTAAGAACTATGAAATTCGTATGTCTGTGAAGTTGGCCCCCGACCTTTAAATTACACAAAAATAACATGAGTTCTGGTTGCCCTCCAAAGAGTTCTAGAATTCTCTATTAATATCAAAAATAGTTCCGTCGATTAAAGGAGCACATATGAGGGTAGTCCCAGAAGTACCTGATCTAAAGGAAACAAAAAATTTGGGAAAAAATATCTTTCTCTACATAGTCTACTTTTAGCTCAATAGACTTCCCAGCGATGTTCAATAGCTTCGATACTCTGTTTATAGTGGGAATTGTCGAACTCCTTAAAATAGCCATCAACCGCAGACTCCTCTTCATTGTTGGCAAATTGAGTTCGAAAGCCGGATTCTACTGAACTCTATTGTCATGATATCGATCGTGATATTTATAATTTTATATCTCTGATGCGGCTGAAGCCGATTGGCAGATTTGTACAAATCGTTGTTTGGCTGACACAAAGATCTTGACGGTAAATACATTGTTTTGCCGTTAGTCACGAGACATTAGACTGTCGCAAGTTTCTTCTGATGGAAAGAGTGTTATTGTCACCGACACAATGAGACAGTGTAACGCGCCGAGACAATACCAGGCGGCAAGACAAAGATCAAGCAAATAATTCGCTTGTAAACATGGGTGATTTGCCCGAGCGGTGACTCGATGTTACGGCGTCCAGCACACGCTCCGCGAGAATCCGCTCGCTTTTTCGCGTCTCTGCGGGAATTGCGTAAGAACTTCGCCGACAGGTTTCCCTCGAAGACACAACTGTTTTGCATTTATTACCGATCTTTATAACTTTCGGCAAAACCACCGCAATTCCCGCCGTGTTTCATCTAAAGAAGAATTAGGGAGAACTTTTTATGGGAAATTTGATGCGAAATTCAGCGCGCGTATCGTGAGGGAGCGCGGTCGGAGTTCGTGAGAAAGCAACTCCAACACTTGTCATCGGAGAAGTTTTGTCGAAACTTCGAGTTCCTTTTAACATACGTTTCGCAAATAAATCTCGGTGCACTGTGTGCTCATTTCGAATAATTATGGAATCCAGCTGTGGGTAACTACGTCTAACTCTAATATTGAAATCCTACAGCGATTTCAATAAAAAATTGTCAAAATAATAATAGACTCTCTCTGGTACGTAAAACACGAAACGTTGCACAAGAATCTATAAATTCCATACAAAAAGGAAGAAATCAGAAGGTTTGCTACATATAAGAAAAGACTGACAGTAGAGATGTGCGAATCAAGAATGTTTGTGTCGAATCGAATCGAATCGAATCTCACTTTTTTAATTCGAATTCGAATTGAATCAAATCTATGAAATTTCACTCGAATTCGAATCGAATTGAATGAAATCGAATTGAATCATTAAAAAATTTAACATGACTATTAAACATGCAAATAATGATGGAAGATCTTAATATGAAAGGGAATATTGATATTGTAATATCATCTTAAAGTAAAATATATATTTAAATATTTAAAGTAATTTATAATTAAGTTATTAATTACAAGTTAAGTTAATATAAGTTAAGGGTTTAAACATACAGGCCCAAATGGCCCGTTTTATAGCGTGCAAACGCTAATGTATTTGATTTGTATTCGAATCTTCGCGATTCGAAATTTTCGAATTATTCGAATTCGAATCGAATTACATTAGATTCGATTCGATTCGATTCGATTTGAATTCGAATAGTTCGTACATAATCTCTAATTGACAGATCATCCAAACACCCTTGCGGTCAGCTTAATGAAAAGCAACACATGTATTAGACGGCTAAGAAGAAAAATCCACAAAACCTGGCAGCATAATGCCGAAATTTAGTTATGAGTGCATCTGAAGGTTGCATCTCGCCCAAGTCTTTCGCTGTACCCAAAGATTGCAAAGTGCTCTAATAGGGCAGGTGGCTGATAATTAGGAGTTAAAAAAAAAATGTTCGAATAATGATCGTATTTCTCATGGCGACGACGCTCTGTGCTCACTGCATGAAAAATTTAAAAGAGCAATCGAAAATCCTCAAGTCTCGTGGACCGACCTTCGCGTAAACGAAAAGAAACGTCCTCGTTGTCGTCGTCGTCGACTGTATCTTCATACGCTTCATATGAAACAAGGCTTTTTCGTGTACATACACATTTTACGTTTCATTAATTTAAGCAATTTAGTTACACGCGCATTCTCTTTATTCCTGCATCCTTTCGCAAATGCAACTTAGAATGTTTAATGTCGCTCGCGATTTTTTGTCACTTTACGTACACAGCACCATATGTAACGAATCTTCGTCAAATTAAACATTCATAAAACACACGTGCGTCGTGCTGAAGCGCGGCGTCAATGTTTAAACGTTTAAAAGGTGCAATTAAAATTTCTTTCGGCCTCGGACTGGCGCGCCCGGCTGAATTTTCCAATTTGTTTACACGAATGAATAAGTTGCTCCTCCACGAAGAAGACCTCCTTTCGTCGGAAACGAACGCGATTGAACTGGCATATCATTAGGTCTTTGGCGGAATTACACGCTCTTGTTGTTTCCACTCCTTTGTCCGTTGACCGGTGTAATTTTTTTTCTTTTTCCTTCCTTCTCTCTCTCTCTCTCTCTCTCTCTCTCTCTCTCTCTCTCTCTCTCTCTCTCTCTCTCTCTCTCTTTCTCTCTCTCTCTCTCTCTCTTTCTCTCTTTCTCTCACTTTTTCTCTTGACATATCGTCGACTCGGTGATATAATGAAGGTAAAAATAAAAACGCGTTATGTCGGTGTGTCCATTCTAACCTATCAAAATGGCTAGATGCGGTCGATTAACCGATATTCCGCACCTTTCATCACTCTCAGGGGTGGAATCTCTTTGTGAGCCTTTGTATTGATGGCACTCATCAATCAATAACATGACAATAGATCTCGAAAACGATCGACAAGAATAGGCGGTGAGATGTGAGTGAGGAGGCGAACGAAGATAGATTTGACGTTTCCTTGGATAATAACGGATGTCAAATTATCGGCTGCGTCAAACTGTCATTACACTTTATTTAACGACATTTAACTCTCGATATCTCACTAACTATTTGTCGGAAGTGTAGAAGTCCGTTAGCGCCATCCCGAAAACGACACGTCGAGCCGTTTTGATTTGTTTTATTCCGATTGGTCAAATTTCAATCTTCAATCCGCAATCCTTGATCTTCAATCCGTAGTGTGACAAGAGCTTTAGAGATTTGATAGTGCGCGAGGCGAACGCTGATTTTGTGTCGCGTCACGGCTCAATATGCGGCAATGTTGGAGCAGCGCTACGCGATCAAATTTTGTGTTAAACTTCACAAATCCGTTATGGACACGTTTGAGATGTTAAATGAAGCTTACGGGGGTGAAACCTTGTCCCGTAGTCAAGTGTTTAGGTGGCATAAAATCTTTAAAGAAGGACGGGAAGACGTGGAAGATGAAGAATGCGCTGAGCGGCCATCAACATCAAGAAGTGACGATAATATGAAGTATGTTAAAGCTATGTTGGACTCAGATAGGCATTTAAGTGTGAGATTAATTGTTGAGGAGGTTGGACTGCCAAAAAGTGATGTGCATCGTATTATTAGCGAAGATTTTAACATGCGAAAAATTTGTGCGAAAATGGTTCCGAAGATTTTGACTGACGAACAAAAGGAATCCCATGTGGCAATTTCTCGCGAGCTTTTGGGTTCTACGGAAAGACACCACCCGACTTCTTTTTGTTTCCAAGGATCAAGTCTGGACAGAAAGGAAAACGTTTTAAGTCCATTCCTGAAGTTCAGGCCGCCGCGACGAATGCCCTGAAGACGATTCCGGAAAAGGACTTCAAAAAATGTTTCGACTAATAGCAGACCCGCTGGAAATGCTGTGTCGATGCCGAAGGGGCCTACTTTGAAGATTTTTAAGTGTTAAAAATATTTTCAATAAAACGATTTTTATGGAACCAGTCTCAGTACTTTTGGGACAGACCATGTATGTATGTACGCGTATATATATGTACGCTGTCTAGCATGGAGGACGTGAAGAGCGAAGACCGAGAAGAGACGAAGGAGAGAAGATCACTCGATAATGCTCTCGGCTGCATTCCGACATTCACTGCCAGCACTGAAAATATATAGTATATGTGACACAAACTATGTATTTTCAGTACTCGTAGTAAATATCGGAACGCAGCCCTCGTCGACGTGACTATTACATACGAAGAGACGAGGGGTGTGCGAGAAAGCGTTCCCTGCTCTTGCTTTGCTCGAATACATGCCTAGCAAGGCAAGCAGCAGATGTCCTACATCGATCACATCACCTTCCAACACATGCGATAGGCCCATCAATATGAACGGAATGGCTGATAGGTGTTATGACGTCAGTGAGCCAGGAAGTCAGTCGAGATAAAGCGAGCGCGAGGAAACGCGCAGTCCCAAATCTATAAATTAATATTTATTCAACGGCTTTATCAGGCGACTTGAATCGATACGCTTGCAGCAAGAAACGCTCTGAAGTCACTCTGAGGTGACCCTGAGGTCATCGAGTACCTCGTAAAATTTGTTGAATCTTTCGGGCGAAGAAGGGGTTTATTATCTGCTACTCTCCAACGGGCACGAAGACGTCAAATGATGTATTATTGACGCTGATATATTATTTGACGTCACTTCTCTGCTTAGGTTAGGTTAGGTTATAGTAGAATACGTAACACCTATATTTACTGTGATCCAACTTATTTAGTATAACGAGCGATACGGCTCGAGTCATATTTGTGACAGTGCGAGACCGTCTCAAATTAATGTCCAGAATATCCCGGGGAGTATTCTAAGTGTCCTGAGCATATGGGATGATCAGGATACGCCCAATACGTGTCCTGAGAGCATTCAGGATAAGCTCGTGTTACTCGCTCGCATACGTCATTCATCCCAAGAGATAAACGCTGTCGGTCACTCATCGTCGCGAATATAAACGGCCGCGCACAGGTGCATATAAACATAGTATAAAAACGTCGATCGTAAAATATGAGAGATGAATTTTATGAAGACATTGCGATTTGCGCGGTTTGAAACTTCGAGATATTTTACCGTTTATAGGCGTAGAGTGACGATAATAGAGGCGGCAATTCGGTGAAATTGTAGGCTGTTGTAAGCATGTCGACAAATAACAGATCGCAGGTGAGTAACTGTAGGCGAAGGGAGCGAGGAGACATGGAACAAAAAATTAACATCTCCCTCTCCTCCCCGGCGAAGGGGATCGAGTCGATTTATCTCGGATAAATTGCCGAGAATCTCTTTCGCGAAAGTCGAGGCCGAATCGCCGTAGTAAATTATTCGTTCGTATCTCGTAGGTGTATCTGACACGTGATCAGGAGCGTTAATTTTATCTCTTCATTTCCATAATCAAGCACAATTAAATAACCGTAAAATCATGACGGAAGCGCGGCGAGAAAAATGAACTATTCATCCGTGAACGTGCTGAAAATTTCGATATTATCTAATTAGCTCGAGCTCTGGTTTCTGCGCCCGCTGTAGCGCTGCACGATGCGTTCCATTCGAATGACGGTGATAAATCTTCGGAGTTGACGTACATCGTTAATCGTCGCGGCGAAAAACACGTCATAGAAACAGCGGAGGACAGCTCGTCGTAATTATTTACACATTATCTCGGCGTCGAGTCGCGCCAGAACTATTCCAATTGCATTAATACGAAACTACAATCCGTTTTGACGTTGACACGTTTGTTCGGTATATTGAAGATAACCATATGCGCTAATAACAGCTTGGGAGGGAAGGAAGAAGCGGGAGAAAAAGAATATCGCACGGTGCGATCGTTCGCTTTTGCGAGCGAATCGCGCGCGAAATAGCACGGCGTATTATTAATAACTAGCTTGATAACTCACAACGATCATCACTGTCATCCACCGTTGGACGAATTTATCGAGTTAAGACGCGGCGTTGTTCCTCAAGCGGCTAACTGCATCGTAAATTAGACGAGAATGCCGCCGCGTTCGCTCGCAGAGTCCGGCACACTTTCTCATATGGACAATAGTGCGTATGACGCGCAGCTGCTAACAGAAGGAACTCGTGTTTAGCCCTCGCACTCTGGGATTTTCTTTTAACAAGCTAACTTGAGCTAAGGGGTTAGGCCTTTTTGATCGACGCTCTCAGTGGTGTTCAGTTTCACGGCCATAGCATTGGACGTGAAACAAAAACGAAACAATTTTTACTATCTAGATGCCAGAAACTGAAGAAGTACATATGGATTTTGCGAAATATTAAAAATTTTTTTTACAATTAACACTTGCACGAAATTTTTAGGTCAAAATATGAAATTTTTTTTCAAATGTACCATTTCCACAAAAAAAATATTTCTAAATCAACGCCGCCATTTTGTTTAAAATATTTACAAAAAATATTTACAAAAAATTGTTTTTTTTCTTAAAAAGTTGCTCAATAAATACCTTATTTTCATTTTTGTATTGCTTTCGTTATGTCCTCAAAAAATATTCCCGGAAATGATAGTGATTTTGACCCGTCCAAGATGGCCTAATCCCTTAAAATATTAAATTATATAGCCTACGTTAGCGCTTTTTCATGAAATTTCCTAGTTTAAGACGAAATTGAAGAACATTTAAGAGTCGAATGGAGAAATCAAGTGTTAACCCTTTGACACACGAATTTTTCTATGCAATAATAAAAGAAACTGATTATGTATATAGGGGTTTTCTAGATCGCTGATTACGAATCTGGAGTTAAAATTTTAAAATTGAAAATGGTGGATTTAATATGGCAACTTCAAATGGCAAATTTTGATATGATATTATGGAAATCTGATAATAAATTCGTGATCAGCGAAACCTCCATGTACCTATTTCTGTCGAAATCGAAGGATTTTGAACATTTTTGTCCACTGTATTGGATCCGCCATTTTGAATTTTGGAAATCTAATAACAAATTCCTAATCAGCAACCCAAAAAACCTTCATGTACCTATTTCTGTCGAAATCGAGGGATTTTGAACATACTTTTGTCTATCATATTGGATCCGCCATTTTGAATTGTAATTCTGACCCCGGATTCGTAGTCGGCGACCTCAGAAACGTAAAATGGACAAGTTTCGTTACGACTGTCTTTATAGATCACCGTTAAATGAACTTATACGGAAAAATATATAATTTTATACAATTTATTTATTTACAGGAAGTTTAAATTTAAAAAATATTGACATCTTACACTTTTAGCACGTATATCAATAGCTAACATATCTTAGAAGTAAAAAAAATTCAGACGAAAATATCAAAAAGATAGCTTAAATAATTAAAAATGAAGGAAAAGAAGGTAGGATTGCAGGACCTCACTATGCTTCAAAGGAAGAAAGCATGCTTTAAAGAAAGAAAAATAAGCATGCTTTAAAGAAAGAGAAATAACGACAAGGTAAAGAGAAAATAAAGTTTAGGGAACTTCATTATAGCGTGAAACGAGGATCGCACGTTTATCGCAGAATATTACGGTAGACCTGCTGTGATGTTAACCGAATGATCGCTTTGATGTTGCTTAGCCATGAAGAAAGCCAATCTCTAAAAATAGTGCACAGTTATATCTAATAATAAATATTTAGCAATTCTAATTAATATTCCAACTATGCATGAAAATCCTGCTAGAATAGCATTTCTCCGGGATGGATAAAGCGGCGTCCGTCAAGCGTATTTCTAACGAACGCGATAATTAATCAGAGCGTAGAAACTCGCGAGCAGAAATTCATTACGCGAATTCCAAAATTGTCGAAATGAGATTGGATTGGAATTTCATTCTGCCTTTTTCTGCTCTCGACTCGCTTAATTGTTTATGAATGATTTAGAAGAATGATTAGAGAAAAATTGCCAACAAACCAATGAAATCATCACCGATCCGACGAACGACTTTCGCAAGCCCTTATATGTGACCAAATTATATTCCGGGATAAATATCGTTTGATTATAATTTCGTCGAAAAGGACATGACGTTTATATGTGGAATAAAGGAACATGACAAGAAGTGAGAGAAATTCAACAGAAAATCGAAACCTCTCGATAAAATACTGAGTTTCAAGAAACTTATGAATTTATATCGCTTTCGCGACATACATTTCTATTAATTTCTCTTAATTTCATCATTCGCTACGAGAGTCCCTCGACGAAGGTACAGAATGAATACTTCAAACCAGACGACGGCGCGCAATGTAGCGAGATGCACTTTCAACAGTTCCACAATCCAACATCTAACTTCACTTTCCCATTTGCATGTGACAAACATTTAGCAACTGCCCCGTTTGCAGCATTTTACCGCTGGAACAGAATAAAAAAGAATCTTCGTGTTAGACGAGAGAAAGTACGAATTGTGCGCATTGAGAGCGGTAAACGTGTCGTTACAAATCTGACCTACGTCTATATTGCGATGTTATTTCAAATTGAGAATTAACTGCCTAGTTTCTACTAAATGCACGTTACTAGTGCAACCTGATACACTCAAAGGTCATCGTTTTTGCCCGGCTGAAACTGATTCTGCCATGTTGCTAACGTGCAAAAATGTGCAAGTCTTTGATCCAAGCGATTAAATCGCGCGGAGACTGATAGAGATCGATTAAACAAACGCGCGAAGCAATTTATATTCGCGGGATGTATCGCGATTTTCAGCTTGCTAAATTTACATGAAGTGACAACAACGACACCTCGGAAACGACGAAAGTCCATTTAAGAGATCCCACTTTTTTTGTACTATTTATATAATCAACGAACATACGGCTTGTTCTCCTCATTGTTAGGCGCGATTTTACGCGAATAGAACGAATGATAAAACGAATTACGCGGCTACAGTTGGCTACGATAATAAGAATACAGGCATATTCGGGAATTGAAGCGTGCTCGATCTTAGCGAGGGTTGCGATTATCCTGTTACGGTTATTGTATTACGATTGCTGATTTTGTTATGAGCCGTGCGCTATCGACACCGAATCTTCCCGTCGCGGTTTTGAGAGTCGGCCGTTCCAGGATACAGTTCCTTCGGAGCGGAAAAAACATCTATAATAGGAACGGCTTATTGCGCTCTCGTGGTATTAAAGCAGATATAAAGTATGGCCTCCTCGAAAGTCTGCGCTAATCCCTCAACTGATCCCGGTGAGTGGAATTTCATTCACTATCTCACGGAGTTCCCATTAAAAAAATTAATGACAGGAAGCTTCGACATATATGTTTACCGGAGAATAAATATTCCTTGTGCTCTTCGTGCTGTCCGTTCTTTCACACATTCTCTCTTAAAAGTGATTAAAACGCGCTTCATGGCGCATTATGCCGTATTAATTTCCCGTGAACATTACGCAACTATACCTTAAATTATTCAGATACAAATAATGGAGAAATTATTGAAGTTTTTATTATTGCAAACGCAGACAGATTTTCCACGTCTATCGCAGAATATTGCGATAGATATGCTGCGATATTAACCGAATGATCGCTTTGACATTGCTTAGCTATGGAGGAAATTAATCTCTAAAAATAGTGCAAAGTTATATCTAGCAATAAATATTTAATAATTCTAATCAATATCCCAAGTATGCGTGGAAATCCTGTTGGAATAGCATTTCTCCGAGATGGATAAAGCGGCATCCATCAAGCGTATTTCTAACGAACGCGGTAATTAATCAGAGCGTAGAAACTCGCGAGCAGAAATTCATTACGCGAATTCCAAAATTGTCGAAATGAGATTGGATTGGAACGGTACGAATTTCATTCTGCCTTTTTCTGCTCTCGACTCGCTTAATTGTTTATGAGTGATTTAGAAGAATGATTAGAGAAAAATTGCCAACAAGCCAATAAAATCATCACCGACCTGAAGAATGATTTTTGCAAGTCCTTATATGTGACCAAATTATGTTCCGGGATAAATATCGTTTGATTATAATTTCGTCGAAAAGGACGATTTATATGTGGAATAAAAGAACATGACAAGAAGTGAAAGAAATTCAACAGGAAATCGAATCCTCTCGATAAAATATCGAGTTTCAAAAAACTTATGAATTTATATCGCTTTCGCGACATACATTTCTCTCAATTTCTCTTAATTTCATCATTCCCTACGAGAGTCCTTCAACGAAGATACAGAATGGGTACCTCAAAGGACACAACAGCGCGCAATGTAGTGAGATGCACTTTCAATTCCACAATTCAACATCTAAATTCACTTTCCTGTTTGCACTGGACCAGAATAAAAAAGGATCTTCGTGCTAGGCGAGAGAAACTATAACAATGAAATCATCGATCCGACGAATGACTTGCAAATCCTTATATGTGACCAAATGCAAACGCGCATCACCGGCTGGGCAACCATCCAAAACTGAGGCGGAAACTATCTCGAGCACGTAACCGTTACAATCTCAAGATAGAGGACCGACGGTCAACCAATAACCGACCAATCAATGATGATCAATCACAATTAACGAAAATGCAATCGTTATGTAAAACTCAGCACACTCGAAAACCGCATCGGACACTCGCTCGTTAAACAAACAACACTGACGCGTTGGCCGTAAGTGCCCGAGTTACGCGACATATTTCACTTTGCGAAAGGAAACTAATCTCGAGGAAACTAATGACATGCGCAGAATAGGGCTGACAGTCTTACCTCGGTACGGACCTGATCTTACCTTGGTTTATGAGTGGGGATGGAGGCAGGTTCAAGTCGAAGAGAGCTTTCTTATGGGTTTTGTACGAGTGACGTCTTCGCGCGCGAATAACCACTTAAGCCTCGCATGTGTTTCGCGCGATAATTGTACGACGGCGTCCATTCGAGTAATTTCAACTATATAGTGCGCAAGAACATATAGTCATCAAGAACAACGTCTGATGGGCGGCTAGGTGGCCCCACGTTCCGTTACGAGTCTATCGACGAAAGCTAGAGAGTCCGTTTCGTCGGTGCAGATAGTGCGGACGACCGGTGATAAAGCTCTGGATGTGTAGCAACGATCGTGACGCAGGGCGTGTCTTTCTTATCAATCGGTGCTAAACGATTATATAGGTGCGATCGGTTCAGTGGCGACGGCCTGTGCTTCCGTGGCGATCATCGTGACGAATGTTCGTTCGCAGCCATCGAGCCGAGCGCGGCTTTCACGTCAGTTTCGTGCCCGTACTTTACCGCATACCTTTCGCCTGTTAATTCGCGCGAGGATGTTGCCTTCGCGATCGCACTGGTATCGTGAGGAATATTTGAGAATTCAGAGCGAAACACCTCCAACGACGGTGAATTTTCACCAAGTCGAACACGCGTCGGGCACTCTCGAGATGCATTCGTTCTGTTTGCGATTGTTCGGCTAATTCGCGCGTTGTCGTTCACTTGTCGCGACACACACGGTGAATTTAAATATTTTTTCTCCTTGCCTTCCTATTTGGCGGCGAGAGGGAGAGATTCAGTCTGGCCGGGCTCGTTGTCTATTGCGACGAAGACGGGAAACGCGTCTCGACAGAGTGCTTTCTTTCGCATTGCAATAATCGATGGCGGACGTTCAAACCGTTGAGGTTAAAATTACGAGAATTTCACCGGAAAGTCTCGACGCGTCTCGCGACGTTGATGGATCTCATGTGAGCATGACGATGTGCGCTATGCCGAACGAAAGACGGAGACGGATGAACCTTCTTCCCGACTCGGAAATCGTGCGACGCGATGAAATCGTGTGAGTTGGTGCAAGTTCTAAAAAGTTCTAAAAAGAAAAAAGAAAAGAAAAAGAAAAAGAAAAGTGCCAAGACCACGCTAGCTTTGGCTAGAATATCGGATACGGCGAGAGCTTCGACGCGTCCGTCGAGTTGCGACGTTCGACGCGACACGTCGTTCGAGTTGCAACTTGACGGGCAAAAAGAACCACCACTGCTCCCGGCCATTATCTCCGAGAAAAAAGGGATAATCTCAGTAAAGTATCCGCGGGGTCACGGTGTACGGAATACGTAAGTAAAGAAACTTGAATTGGCCGAGCGGATTAGCGGCTTCACATTCGCGACCGATCGCTAACGGCATCAATCATCGCGTTAAATCGCTCGACCGTAACCGATCGATTCGTTCGTATCGCCGCGGTTCTACCGGTTTGCATTTCCCCGCCGAGAGGTCTTTCACCTCGCTCGGGGAGAAAAGACAAACGACGAGGAAAATCTAACGGCGATTATGACAAGTGCGGCTTGAATCTCTCCACTCTCTCGTAATCTGTGACGTTTCGAGGTTTTATGTACCGCCGTCGTCGCGAAAATGTGATCGCTGAAGAGGCCGGTGTGGACAGATAGCGTAAAACCGCACGACGATCGACGCATACGCTCGAACGCGCACGCCGATGTTACTGTGTCAAATCCGTTTTCTTGATTCCGACCCCCCCCCTCCCCGCCACTCTGCGAAATTCAGGCAGCGGCACGCGTCTTTATTTTCTCTCGCTCCGATTTTTCTTTCCCCTTTCCGCTACAATTACCTATCGCTAATTGTCGCCGGAGAATATTCGCCGGATACCGGTCGATTATTGACTATGCAACAGAGAAGACTAGCAAAGTGTTAACGAAGCACGCGACCGCGCAGCAGCTACTAACCCTCAAGCGGCGCGAACCAAACGTGCGACTCGAAGTGCGCGCGCCGCCGCCGCCGAGAAACTAGCGACGATGAACTGACGACTAGGATGGCAACCCACATAGCACATAATATTACAGCAATATCACAATAATATTACTTCTCCATTGCAATATTACAACGTAATATAATAAAAATATTACTACATTATTACAGTGATATTATAGTAATATTAAAATGTTTGCCGAAATGCATCACAGTAATATTATGGTGATATACTACTAGTAATATTGTGATAATATATCATAGTAATATTGTCATAGTGATATATCACAATAATATTGTTGTAATACTGTAAAGTTAATTGATATAAAAAGAAGGTAATAAAAAAATAGGATTTTTATTTAAGAAAAGTAATAATCAGTGAATATCTCGAAAGTGTCATCATCTGTAAACAAAATGATATAGTTATTTTATGTACCCCTTGAAACTATATAACTTTTGTTTAAAACATTTTTTTCTAAAATGTTTAGTTTCCGAGATATAACAGTTGTAAAATTTTAGAATAAAGGCAGAAAAGTCCGAACTAAAAGATGTGAATACATCACAGAAAACTCTTACGGATACTCTTACGGAAAAAAACACTCAAATTTGAGTATATATTTGAGAATAAATTTGAATAATTGAGTGTAAACACTCAATATTGGAATGTTTCTTTCATAAGAATTAATTTTATATTAGTTAATCTAATATTAGATTCGAAATGTTATCGTTGAAATGTTATGTTTGTTAATTATTTTTATCTCCTGAAGATGTAAGCAATTCAGTTTTCTGTGATGTATTCACATCTTTTAGTTCGGACTTTTCTGCCTTTATTCTAAAATTTTACAACTGTTATATCTCGGAAACTAAACATTTTAGAAAAAAATGTTTTAAACAAAAGTTATATAGTTTCAAGGGGTACATAAAATAACTATATCATTTTGTTTACAGATGATGACACTTTCGAGATATTCACTGATTATTACTTTTCTTAAATAAAAATCCTATTTTTTTATTACCTTCTTTTTATATCAATTAATTTGAACAACTTTTATCTGAAACATTTTTTTATTTGCCTAATATTTTTTGAAATATTTAAGGAAAACTTAATAACTTTTCCAATATTTAACTTACAATATCTCGTTAACTATTTATTGAAAGAAAAAATAGTGTTAGATATTTTTACACTATTTACTCTTTTTATCTGAAATGTTCCTTAATATCTTTCATATTTTTCGAGATTTTTGCCTGACTGATTTAAAATGGGATGCCCTATATTATCCCCGAAATATTTTATTTCATTTATACTCCAATGCGATGTATATGCGATGATATTAGGTTAAAGTAGCAAGTGACATTAAATGACGTTTCTAATGTCTATAAGACATAATAAAAACGTCATTTGACATCATCTTGCATTTGACATCATTTGACAGCATCTTGCTTGAGATGTAATATATATTGCAATACAATATTACAATAATCTTTTAATGTTACATATAAACGTAATATATTATTCACTATTATTGTAATATTTCAACATCATATATAAACGTAATATATTAGTAATATTTCTGTAATATTGTATTGTAATATGTAATATTAATGATATTGGAATCTAATTATGATATTTCTGTAATTTTGTAATATTACGTGCTATGTGGGAACGGACAAGCACGGCGGCAAAAACGATGATAAAAACTCCTGCGTAACTGTCAGATGAAATAGTTCCAGATCCAATCTGTAATCCAATTTGTAATTATAAATAAAAATGCAATCATCCGTTTGCTATGTTTGCTATCGACATAATTCCGGGTCACTCATTATTCTGAAACCAACCAGCCGATGTTGAGACAAAATCATCAAACATCAAACGATTACATAAGTAAAAATAAAATCATCCGGAAACATCGATTAATTAAAAATAAACTATTGATTCTTTTGATTAAGCGATGAAAATCGCCCATCTTTACTAGCAAAAGATTATGCTTTTCGTTGAAGATTGCACATATTAGTGAGCCAAGAATGAGCAAATAAATAATAAACGGTCGGATAATAAATAAATAATAAACTTTTGGAATCCGCTAACGCATCTAATTGATATAAATTTAATGTCAAAAGTCTTTAAGTAATATTATATATTGTAACATTATGTACATATATATATAATATATATATATATATATATATTATATACTATTATGTTATTATAATAGTACACTACTTTCTTAAATGTATCTATACACGGTGATTACATGTGTTTACATGATAATAAATAAATTTTTGTCCTAATCTAACTTAATTTATCATAACGTGATCTTTGTGTGTAAATGCCCTGGGTAATCAAACTTTAAACGCGTTTACCTGGAAACACTATTTTCTTAAACTATCGACATGATTATGTAAAAACTATTGAACCGAATAACTTGAGATTTTTATACAATATACAGTAGACATATAGTTTTCGCCCCTACCTCGAACACAGTTATTCTATTTTATTCATTTTTTTTAAATATGATTATAAGTTGAAAAAGTTCCATTTTCAATATTTTTTTTATACAGTCATTACTTTTTCAAACATGACTTCACTGCCTTTATTTTACTACGGGCTATAATGGACAACTGTATATTTTAGAAATCTTTCTTAGCCTTTGATTTCAGAATAGTGAAAGACTCGGAATTATGTCGACAACAAACATAAAGCTCGCGAATCGATGACTGTATTTTTATTTATAATTACAAATTGGATCGGTATTTTTGTGATTCAATAAAATTTATTTTATACTTAAACATTAATGAATACACTATGAAAATTTCAAGTTCATTGATCTTACTGTTTCTGTTAAAAAAATTCGTAAAAGTAGTCTTGAAAACGGTCATTCGCATTTGATGATTTTGAAATTTCAAAAAATCAGAAAGTTAATAAAAGTCAACGCGCTATTGTAACAATATATTCGTGAGACTAAATTAATAAAGCAAGAAAGTTCAGTACCACTTTTTCTTCCGACAAATAGGTAGCGAGATATCGTAAGTTAAATATTGAAAAAATTATCAAGTTTCCCTTAAATATTTCAAAAAATATTAGACAAATAAAAAAATGTTTTAGACAAAAGTTGTTTTAGACAAAATTAACTAATAGAAAAAACAGTATAATAAAAAATAAGAGTTCCCATTTAAAAAACTCAGGTTGAACTTCAAATGACCTTGAAAATAGAGATCAAGGTCAAAGTCAAAGTCATCATAAGATAGCTCACTTAAATCCCTACAACTTTTATTCAGATCATTTTCCTTGAAACTTCAATACTATTAGAATAGTCCGTTATTTTTGGGACACCCTGTATAACAACTATATCATTTTATTTATAGATATTACTACTTTCGAGATATTTACTGATTATTGCTTTTCTTAAACGGAAATCCCAAATTTTTATTATATCACTTTTTTTTACCAATTAATTTTAACAACTTTTGTCTGAAACATTTTTTTATTTGACTAATATTTTTTTAGATATTTAAGGAAAACTTTGTAACTTTTTCAATATTGATCTTACGATATCTCGTTAACTGTTTGTCGGAAGAAAAAATGGTGCCAGACTTTTTTACTCTATTTGGTCCCAAGATTGTTACAATATTGTTACAGTAACGCCCTGACTTTTGTTCATTTATCGATCTTCGGAAATTTCAAAATCATCAAATTAACAAAAATCAAAGTGCCACGCTTACGAAAATACACTCAAATATTGAATATCTACACTTAATTATAAATATCATGCTGGTTATTTCGGCGCGATAATAACAATGTTATTCGGAAGTGGCTCTCACTTGAAGAGATGAAGGAAGTCGTGAGAAACGTGCTAAACTATGAAGTGAATTCGATTGAATATAGTATTCCGACTTGATTTTCCGACCGATCTCGGTTCTCATTACCATCTAACTGTGACAGCCTCGATGAGGAAGAAGAAAAAAGTCACTCTGCCATTCTTCAGTCATCCATCAAGATTTTGTCGACCAAGTCGAATATGTGATAAATATCAGCTTCTTCAAGCAAGAGACGATGTTCCATAACACCTTAATATTCTGCGAGGAGCATCGTGGAGAACCATGGGCGCCTGTGTGCTACAAAATAAAGGAGAACTTATTGATCTTCGAAGAACTGAACGACAAAGGTTATATAATATGAAACAAGCTTTTTAACAAGACGCTCGTGCGGGTCTCAGCACTATCGCGCATTTACACGCCGCTTCCTTGATAGCAGAAAACGGCCTTTCGCATGTAATTCCTCCCTTAACACTATGTGTTAAATTTTAGCACGTCACTGTCATATATTCTTAAGACTAAATAAAGTAAGAAAGTCTAGTACCACTTTTTCTTCCAACAAATAGCGAGATATCGTGAATTAAATATTGAAAAAGTTATCAAGTTTTCCTCAAATATCTCAAAAAATATTAGACAAATACAAAAACGTTTTAAATAAAAGTTGTTCAAATTAATTGGTAGAAAAAAAGTGTAATAAAAAATAGAGGTTCCCGCTTGAAAAACGCAAGTTGACCTCCAAATGACCTTGAAAATAGAGGTCAAGGTCAAAGTCAAGGTCATCATAAGGTTTGCTTACTTAAATCCCTACAACTTTTATTCAGATCATTTTCCTTGAAACTTCAATACTGAAGAGTTATTAGGGTGTCCGTTACTTTTGGGACTCACCGTACAACTATATCATTTTATTTATAGATAATATCACTTTCGAGATACTTACTGAGATACTTTTCGAGATACTTACACTGCTTTTCTTAAACGGAAAGTCCAATTTTTTATTATATCATATTTTTTTACCAACTAATTTTAACAACTTTTGTCTGAAACATTTTTTTTTGTCTAATATTTTTTGAGATAATTAAGGAAAATTTGGTAACTTTTTCAATATTGATCTTACGATATCTCGCTGTTTGTCGGAAGAAAAAATGGTGCTAGACTTTTTTATTCTATTTGGTCCCAAGAATATATTGTTACAGTAACGCCCTGACTTTTGTTAATTTATCGACCTTCGGAAATTTCAAAATCATCAAAGTAACAAAAATCGAAGTGCTACCCTTACAAAAATACACTCAAATATTGAATATCTATACTTAATTATAAATATCATGCTGATTATTTCGGCGCGATAACAACTTAAAAGGAACCGATTCCACCGATAAAAATGGTCGTTATCGTGTTTGGAGAACCGATAACAGTAGATACAAACCAAACGTCTTACCATTCATAATGCTCACATTATGGCAGCATTCTGGGCATGGATGTCGGCTGAACAGCTCAGGAGAGCTGGTCAAAGTAGGCAGAAATTTTAATGGCCGAATAATATGTAGATATTCTTGATGGAGTCATGCTGCCTAGTGTTCGAAGATGCTATTCAGAAGATGACCCATAATTATTATTATGGAGGATAACAATCCTATTCATATAGCTCGCATAACTAGAGTGTGGATGGGGACCACCCAGAGATTAGGCGATTACATATTAATTAATTCCTTTGACGTTTCTGAAAAATAAATAAAATTCCACAAAGCAATTGTTTTTGTTTAATGCAATTTGTAAAACTTTTACAGAAAAGGAAACTTATCTGAAATGCTATGCAATAGCCTCCTGTTATTGTTGTTAGCCTCCTGGAATTGTTTCAGCAAATTAATATTATTTGCACTTCCTCGCACTTCGTGCCAAGATCCGCATATCCTATTGTCACCATCTTTTCCACGGAGGTTTGGGAGAAAAACACTAAAACAGACAATGACAGAAGTGATTCGTAATCCTAAACAATATTTAAATATAAAGTAATAAATTATAAATACCATATGGATAGGTTATTTGATATATTTACGGTACTTTCACGCTAAATTTTATTGAAACATTAAAATATAAATAAAGCTTATTACAACTCACCGTATTCTGCATGCTGTTGGCAAAATTGTTTCAATATTCACTGAATTTATTTATTTAAAACTTCCGAAAATTATTATTATTATATCGGGCATCGGACCCGTCCACAAGCTAGCGCACATTTCGATCTGGTTTGAAAAAATATCCGACAACGAAAAATATGTTGCTAACATTGACGACGAAATTTTAATAACAATTGTGCAAGCAAATCCCTGTTTGTATACAATAGATAATAAATATCATAATAAAAGCTTATGACATCTGTTGTACACCCAGATTTAAATTTAAAATCAGCAGAAGAGCTGTCAAATGGCAGCCATATTTACTTACACTATTGGCTGACATCCCATTGGAGGATGAGAGGTGATAAAGACTATATGGACCAATTACACTAAGTGTATATTAGTGACTTCTCAAGTACACCTGATTTGTATATTTTAATTATGTAAATAATATGGGAATAAAATTATAACAGATTTAAAGTATGTAATACAGTGATACGACGTGATTTTAGACATCTAAAGTGAATAATATTATAAAATAAATATATAAAATAATTACTAGATCAATAAGTTACTAGATGCATCTGGCTTACTATTAATTGTTTAAATCAGGTAAAAGTACAACTCTAGCAGGAAAAAAACTTGAAGTACAGGAAAAAAACGCGATTTTGCTAGTATTATCAGGAATATATGTCAGAAATATGATTTAATAAAAGTTTGGTAACATTCTAGGTACTTGGCATGATCTATATTGATTTTTGATCTATGGTAGGTTCAAATTTTCTCAATAACATATAATTATAAAGAATAAATTCAAATTAAAAGAAAATAAGATAAAAACGAGAAGATATACAGCATACACAGTGAAATCAGTGAATTATAAGAGAAAAGCAATAATTTAACATTGTTGAGAACTGTTGGTCTGTTCTTTACTACTGTACTGCACTGTAACTACACTGCTGAACTAGTGCAATAAACTAGAGTGAGAAAACCTATATTTATCTCACTTTAACTTATTACACCAGTTACCACTATTTAACACCAGTGCAGCTACAGATCATTTGATCATGTGAAGAGGCATAATCCACAAATTGGGACCAAAATTGGACCACAAGATAGAACAGGATTATCTGTCAATTTTAATTATCGCAGATAAGTAATTAGTTTTAATTCTGTTTGTTTCTATTATATCTTCTGATTTACTAGCTAAGCTATCTGTCATATTATAAAGTATTTTATAGAATATATACATATGATCTCTTATAAAAGAGCATTCAAATTGAACGTTTATACTCAATTATTTAAATATATCCACAATACAGTCACATTTTAATATATATTCATTTGAGAATAATTGTGTGAAGATATTTCAGTTCTATATCTAATATTTGAATTCTTTGATAAGGAATATCTCTATATTTTTGCTCCAAATTTATTTTATATATATTGCAAATACTTAAATTTATATACAATATTATAAAAAATAAAATACTTACATTGATTTATGCAGCATAAGTTCTACTTATATGTGGAGAATATAGATAGTACAAGCTGATAGAATCCTGAATTGATCCATGGGTAAATTATTTATTCATTATTATTAATTTATGAAAAAATGCAAAATATAATATAAAGAATAGTAACGATTCCAAACAGGTAAATTTATAAAATAAATTTTGCAAAATCGTCAATTTGTTAAGAAACCATTAACATTGCATTGCTTGTTGAATTCTGCTTGCTGAATTCTGAATCCTGGATTTGATGTTAATTATACTTTTTTAACTTTTTTAATGATTTGTTTGGATTTTTTTTAGTTTAATACATTTTTTGCTTTACAGGTAAACAGAAAGAAATATCTACAATATTGTGGAATATCTAGGATTATAACATCAGGGATTACAGGTTTGGATTTTTTCAATATTGAGGAAGGTCAAATAAATTGGCAGAAACAAAATAAACACACAGAATAAGGTAAATATAATCATAAAATTTTATTTATTATTTAAAATTTTATATATAACTTGAAACATGTTACTGTTATAAAAAATGACAGTAAGGATAATATTAATTTTTAAGAAATAAAATAAAAAGAAGTGAGGTATAAATCATTACACAAAATATGATGCTTAAGCAAAAAGCATAAAAAGTAAAAAAAAAAAGCAATGTTACTGCAACTTTTGTGCTATATGGGATTTAATCAATACAGAAAATAACTTGAGCTATTTATGTGAATTATTACATGAATGATTACATGAATGTTTATACCTATGAGTGTTTTAGGTTAAATTTCCACATGAGATAAATCACCGAGAACACCACTTTCTTATCACTTTTATCAATTTCGTTTAATATTGAAATTACGTTTGACATGTTTCACGATATATATACGTACTCATATTTTTATGAGATTACACTATTGACTCGATGTTTATAAGATTTGCTTCTCAAAACTAAAAATAATGCCTTTATATTGTTGCGATTCATATGTTTGATATACAACATGTGATCTGTTCTTTTCAGCTGCACTGCGGAACTAGTGCAATAAGTTAGAATGGCTGCGTTCAATAGAACAAAATGATCAGAGAGCACTTAGTGATTATTCTCTGTGATTGGAGCATTCTTTTTGATTCTTCATAGACCCAGAAGTATTTACCAATCAGGAGCGAGATTTAGTGGAAAATCTAGTAATGTTGTCCAACTGTTGAGTCTGCTGAATGCAGCCATTGTCTGTGACTGGAGTATTCTTTTAGATTCTTCATAGACCCAGAAGTATTTGGCAATCAGGAGCGAGAATCACTAAGCGCTCACCGATCATTTTGTTCTTCTGAACGCAGCCAATGAGATAACTATATTTCTTCTCACTCCAACTTATTGCACCAGTTCAGCAGTGCAGCTAAAAAGAACAGACCCATAATCAACTACTGGATGCTTCCGAAATGTCCAGTACCGCAATTCTGTAAAGCCAGCGGCACACGGTGCTTGTTTTCATGCTGGATTGCTTGCTGGATGAAAATACTGCGTTCTGATTGGTACATTTCCGAAGATGGATGGAAATGCACCAATCAGAACGCAGTATTTTCATCCAGCAAGCAATCCAGCACGAAAACAAGCATCGTGTGCCGCTGGCTTAACTCGTTATTGGAGTTAACGACAGTTTCGTTATTGTTGCGCAGCTTTTCTACGGTATACAAAAGCTGCGCGACGATAACGAAAGTGTCGTTAACTCCAATAACGAGTTACAGAATCGCGGCACACAGGGGCTGTATTCCGTACTTGCATATCGACAGTTGTCGATGTCGTTAGCGGCATTGCGCAGGTTTTTCGTATATCAAAAAAGCTGCGCAATACTGCTAACGACACCGACAAATATCGGTACGCGAGTACGGAATACAGCCCCTGGGTTGGGTCGAGTCCTCTGACTCCCCCCACTTCGGTCCGAGCGGTAGGCACCCCGCAGGGGTTTTAGCCGGTAAGAGTCCGGCATAACCCCCGCCCTCCTCAAAAGGGCGGGGGTATCCATGAGGATTTCCCCTGCGTGATCAAAAAAAAAAAAAAAAGGGTTGGGTCGAGTTGAGTTAGTTCCACTATAGTATATGTAACGGATATTGGCTGCGTTCCGAAATTCACTGCCAGTACTGAAAATAAATAGTTTGTGTTACGTATATTATAAATTGTCAGTGTTGGCAGTAAATATCGTAACGCAGCCATTATAGTGAAACTAACTCAACTCAATCCAACTTTAGATATTTCGAAAGCACCTAAGCCAGCGGCACACGGTGCTTGTTTTCGTGCTGGATTGCTTGTTGAATGAAAATACTGTGTTCTGATTGGTGCGTTTCCATCCATCTTCGAAAATGTACCAATCAGAACGCAATATTTTCATCCAACAAACAATCTAGCACGAAAACAAGCATCGTGTGCCGCTGGCTTTACACAGTTAAAAACATTTCGTATTTTTGTTAAAATTATTTGTGTGTAGAAAGTTTTGTGTTAAATGTTTTATACAGTCGTGTGTTAATTTAACATATCGTTATTGTGTTACATTAAGATTAACTATTTTCAAGTGTCAAAATGACATTTCCAATTAAAATAACACAATTTATATATAAATGCATGAATTCTTGCTATGACATATTTTATACGTTGAAGTCAACACCTAAAATGTGTTATTTTCTTCATTATAACAGTTATCATGTATTAAATGTATAATGTTAACGTTTCTGGTATGTGAAGATTGAATTTTTAACATATAAATTATGTCAATCGTATTTATTTAGTCACTAATCGCTTACTGAGCGGTTTTCTCCGCTGAACGCAATGATTGTTGACATACTTATGTCATACCATGTATATTTCATTTCTCGCCTTTCGTTGTGAGTTACTGCACAGGCGTGCTCCGCAGGCGAAGCAGCAGCTCTCATCTTTTTCGAGTCGGGATGCGTCCCAAAAGTTATTAAAAAAAATGACAACCTTTATTTTCATTTCATTAAATCATAGGTCATTACTTTTCCCAAATGTTGAAGTAACATTCATTGTATGTCAATTTAACACAAACTGTGATTCTTGACAGCATCCAAATGTTAAATTTTTGTGTTAATTTTTTCATATTATGTGTGTTATTTTTTAACATATTTGCTATATGTTGAATTAACACATAAATGAGAGTGGATGATTTGAGACACATGAAATATGTTAAATTTAACACATTATTTCTTACAGTGTACTATGAATCCAGGTATAATTCAAGACTATTGTTAATTGCGATAAATTTGGAGGAATTGTTACATTCGTCATCATTTTGAACAGTATGATATGATAACTGCTTAATCAGCCCCTACAAATCCAATCACAATTTGATATTATTGTTAACTTTTATCTGGACCATCTGCTCAAGCGCGAATTGTAAACGTCCATTTCGTTATGGCCAATGCGATGTACCCAATCACTGATCGCTCAGGTATTCACTAGTCCGCTAGTTAAAAGTAACATCCCTGGTGTAAAAAACTAGAAACACGTATGAACAATCTTTATAGCATTGATATATGACTTGCGATACAGCCATTAGGTAAAAATCGTCAATACCTGGAAGGGACGGAAGTGGGGATTTATTAAATGAACTGAAACTGACACAGAAGGTCAGTCGTAGGCGAAACGTCGATGGAAGATGATGTGACGTTGGTGTATAGTGTAGTTATGTAAGTATAAACACATATATATAAACACACACACACACATATATATATATATATGTAATAAAGCAAAGTATTTTGTGTATAGTGACCTTGAAAATCAATATTTTCACGGTCACTCGTACATTGCGAAAAGCTATCTGTTGCGCACGAAAACGCAACAGATGTGAATAGAACATTAAACGAATAAATAGTAGGAATAGTAGGAATAAAATTAAAATTAAAATTAAAATTTAATAAAAAAAAGGAATACGTAAACCGAAAATTTTTATTTTATATATTTTTATATAAAATGTATATATATATATATATATATATATATATATATACATATATATATTAAATATTTTATTTATTTTGCAGAAACCAACGAGACGCCACGTGAACGCAGAATCATTTAGGTAAGTAAATTTAAAAATCAAAAGGAAGGGAGAGAAAGAGAGAGAGAGAGAACAGGGAGAAGAGGAATATAATATTGCGCAATAAAATCTCTTTTCATTTTCTTGGTTTGGTAAATATGCAGTATAACGCCCTCACCTTACATTTTTTTGAAATTTTGAAAATTTGTGTATTTTAATGCGCAGAATTGATTTCTGAAAACGAAAATTGTCGCTCATGTATTTTGTTTGTTTTTTTAATTAAAAGTTTTATGATGTCGGTAAGTAAGAAAGTGATAAAATTGGTAAACTTTACTGATAAAGCTAGCTCGAATACGTCTAACTTCAGTTATATTATATCGTCAAACTTCAATTATATTAAGTTGTTAACACAGTTGTGTGTTATAACCTAAATAATCTGACAAAACATTTCTTAATGCGAAGCAAGATTTCGGATGGGTTTGCAACTTTCCATGCGTAACGAGGATGGGGTGGGTGCAGGAGGGAGGACCGAAGGCCCCCTTCGCACCCCTCCCCGCGTGTTGTGTGTGTGTACATATGTTGAGACATTTTCATTTATTAAACATATAAATTTGTAGCTCATGTATTAGTGGTTATTTCTTTTTTTTAATAACCACTAATACATGAGCTACAAATTCATGTTTAATAAATAAAAATGTCTCAAAGATATGTATACGCACACACACACAGGAGGGTGAGAGGAGGGGCCTTCCGCCCCCCCTCCCGCACCCACCCCGTCCTCGTTACGCGTGGAAAGTTGCAAACCCATCCGGAATTTTACTTATCTGTCGCCTCCGTAACAGATTTCCTAATCTAAATTGTCATTAACTTTAACAATTTATATCTCGCTCCACAAGGCAGAGCGACGATTTTTTCAAATAGAAAAGTTGTTTCTCTTGCAAAAACGTGTCGATTAAATATTTTTTCGCCGATATCAGAGGTGAGGGGGGTATTCTGTATAATTATCGTATTTATATATGTGAAGTTTACTAAAATTATCCGATTATGATCAGTTAAATTTCTATCCCAGAACATTTTTCTGATAAATTTAAGCCATAATTTTGCATCACCGACTATATCTTGAACTCCAAGCCAAGGATTATTATTAATTTGTTCTACTGAATATCCCATTTTTAGGTTTTGAGGTTACGATTACAGATGAAAGTAAACTTATTTAGGAATATAACTGAAGTTAGACGTATTCGAGTTAGCTTTATCAGTAAAGTTTACCAATTTTATCACTTTCTTACTTACCGACATCATAAAACTTTTAATTAAAAAACAAAAAAAATAGTACATGAGCGACAATTTTCGTCTTCAGAAATCAATTCTACGTATTAAAATACACAAATTTCCAAAATTTCAAAAAAATCTAAGGTGAAGGCGTTATACTGCATATTTACCCTTGGTTTTCATAGCGACCTCATAGTGTTGAGAAAGGAGTGTTGAAGTATAAATAAATACATATAACAAAAAGGGAATGTATATTTTATTATATGTGTACATATCCATAAAACGTACGTTATTAATGTATTTAAATAATCAAACTACTTTGTATTCACAATTAGATCTTATATTTAAGAATTTTCAATTTATCTTCAGATACTTTATCGACCGGTTATATAATGAGAAATTATATAGTATTTATTTTAACATTTATACTTTGTTATAAAGGATGTAATATATCAAATTTTCGCAATATGAAACAAGGCTTATGTTTACGCTATCTAGGTTTTTGTGTTGGGAAAGAAATGTTGAAATAGAATTAAATATAACGAAAAAAAAATGTATATTCTATTATATGTGTATACAGGGTGGGCCATTTTAATTTATCCACACTGATAACTTCGAAGATTATGGAAATATCGAAAAATGTCCAAAAGAAAAGTTATAGGGTTCGTAGGGGGTCAACTGATGGTGACCTTGACTTTGACCTTGAAGGGCATCTTCAAGGTAAGTTGAAGGTCAACTTAATTTTTTTAAATGGAAAGCTCAATTTTTTATTATATCTTCTTTTTCTACCAATTAATTTTAACAACTTTTGTCTGAAACATTTTTTTATTTGCCTAATATTTTTTGAAATATTTAAGAAAAGCTTGATAACTTTTTCAATATTTAACTTACGCTATCTCATTTGTCGAGAGAAAAAATGATACTAGACTTTTTTACTCTATTTAATCTCAAGAATATATTGCTATAATAGTGCCTTTACTTTTGTTAATTTGATAATTTTGAAATTTCCAAAGATCGATAAATTAACTAAAGTAAAGGCACTATTATAACAATATATTCTTGGGATTAAATAGAGTAATAAAGTCCAGTATCATTTTTTCTTTCGACAAATGAGATATCGTAAGTTAAATATTGAAAGTTATCAAGCTTTACTTTAATATTTCAAAAATATTAGGCAAATAAAAAATGTTTCAGACAAAAGTTGTTAAAATTAATTGGTAGAAAAAGAAGATATAATAAAAAATTGAGCTTTCCATTTTAAAAAATTAAGTTGACCTTCAACTTACTTTGAAAATGACCTTCAAAGTCAAGGTCACCATCAGTTGACCCCCTACGAACCCTATAACTTTTCTTTTGGACATTTTTCGATATTTCCGTAATCTTCGAAGTTATCAGTGTGGATAAATTAAAATGGCCCACCCTGTATATCCATGAAACGTACATTATTCATATATTTAAGCAATGAAATTCTGTACTCAGAGGAATGGTTGATCGGGAAAACATCATTTGATCAAATGGATGCAGTTCCGATATTTTTTCGATGAATCATGAAGGATGAAGGATCATGAAGGATCGATTAACATCATTATCATTAGATAATAGCATATAATGCTGAAGAAGAAAGTTATCTTTAAGTCCGAAATTACAAGTTAAGGATGCACGATTCTGAATCGATTCGATTCTTTCCTCAAAAAATAGGCTTGTCTGTGTTGCTTGTACTCTTCACATTTCTCGCATTTGGTATAAAACGGAAGCACATTCGGATGCTTAGAAGCAAAAGTGAAAGAACCGCTCAGTTGTTTCTTTCACATCGATCCGAATATACGTTCATCTCATTTGAAAATGGAAAGTGCGGAAAAGTCCAAGCAACATGAAGCCTTTTGCTCCATATTTTTTTGGGAAAGAATTGAATCGGTTCAGAATCGTGCATCCCTAATTCGTGACCGAATACTCGGCGAACATAGTTGATCACGTTTTGGTGCACGCTGTTCAGAATATTATGAGATGCTTATGATAAAGAAAATACAGGGTGAGTCTAGAAACCTAGAATTCTGGATCTGAGAGAATATATTCTCATCTATAACTGTTATATTCGATGGGGTGCTCTCGCTCTTCTCCTGCTGTCTCATAACTCGTAGCAAGTCTCGTTTCTGGCTTATTGATTTTGAGACTGGAAGAGGGGACTTTCGCATAGCGGAGAAACTAGCAGCCTTTTTCTTCTGCATGTTGTCCTGCTTTGACGAAAAGTATACCTGGCCGTTATCGTCTACGGAACATCGGCATACAGAAATGCCCCTACGAAAGACAGAAAAGATTAGTACAACTATTTATCATGTTACCAAATATACAGGGTGTCCCATAACTGTAACACACCAACTCCATAGAGGTGTAGAGCTAAGCGAGAGGAAGGAAAAAGTCCTCTTCCATTTAGCGATATCTCGCACAGTTTTTTAATAATAATCGCGTAAAGTTTGGCGTTTGTCACACCCATCGCGACCTATATACGCTCCGCGGCGAGCTATGTGCGTCAAAGCTGATATAGCATATATAGATCGCGATGAGTGTGACAAACACCAAACTTTACGCAGTTATTACTAAAAAACTACACGAGATATTGCTAAATGGAAAAGGACCTTTTCTTTCTTCTCACTTAGCTCTACGCCCCTATAATTAGTGCTACAATTAGTGTGTTAGTCGGAGTTAGTATGTTACAATTATTATTGATATCTTGTTTATTTATATATTTCTCAGAGCTGGTTGTTCCAACTCCTTGGTAAGTTAACTGATAGTTAAATCATATATTTGTCTTCATTTAAATTGAAGGAAAAACAAAGATAAACATATGATTTAACTATCAGTTAACTTACCAAGGAGTTGGAACAACGGACCCTCACTCTTGTTTTCATTGGAATTAATACCTTGAAATTGTTATGTATTTACGCGGATACGCGCTAGGGTTGGTTTCAATTGAGGAGGCTCCAAATGTGGCGGAGCGGTGGTTGTGAGTTGTATACATAACAGCGTCTGGAGAGGCCGGACAAGACGTACGCCCTAAATAAAATTATTCTACATACTCGAGTAACAATTCACATTATTACTTTCATTAGAATATTGGATTCCTACATACTACCATGCTCTCGATATTTTTCTCTCTTCGGAACGAAAATAAGATGCAGGTCCCGAACGCACGGCGTCCCGTTGCCACCTAGTACGCCCTCCTTCTTTCATAGATATATAACAAGAATGAAGTATAATTTTCATCTGGTGGATTCTTCATTGTCTTCCTCGATGAGAGTTATTGAAGAGAAAATCTGCTCCATACAGAACTCGAAAACGTTTCTGCAACATTCAAGAAAATTTGGAAATTAATCTCGAGTGTAAGTGTTCATTGCAGTTGATGTGGCTAAGAAGCACCGATTGCACATTGCTAATACGATAAGTTGATCAACGTTTGACACATTAAGAAAATGTGGCACTGAAAAGTCTGAAAATTCGTCTGTCGACAGACAGAAACTACACAGATTTTTCCTCCTTATTTTACAATCACTCTTTCTCCATATTCTCTCTCCTCCACATATTCCTCCTTTCTTTCCTGTCTTTTCCTCTTCCTCATCTTGTTTCTTTTTCTTCTGCTTCTCCATTCTCTGGGTGACTTAAGTCAAAGTGATACATTGAATCTTGTTCCTTGGTCCATTACATATCCATCCTGTATACAATGCACACTTGAAAACCATATATAATTACAAGTATCAAGATTTAAGTGTTCTAATGGAAACTTTCAACTTACGCAATACTATTCTTACTCGTCGTTCGTATCCTCAATGTCGTCCTCTTCTGACTCATTGTTCCATGAGTTCTGTATAGTTTGCTGGGCTGCAAAAATATAAAATACACAGTCATAGTATAAAATATCATACATTCTATGTACTATACATTCTATGTACTATATGTGCAATACATATAATTTCTGCTTTCAAATTATTTATTCGTTTTTCTATTTGTCTATAATTATACATAAATATTATTAACAGATACATGCTATTCACACCAGTAAGTTTTCTACCACTTATTCCTAATTAAACATACCTTTTATATGTAATATCTTCCTATACTGAGGTCTCTTGTGATGGCATAGTCTCATAGATGGCATAATCATGTTGATATTGATGTTGATGGTGTGCATCTTGCATCGTCATAATTGGTGTCAAGTCTTGGAACTGAGATAAAGCGTCATTAGTATAATATGTTTTATCATAATCTGTGCGCAATGTAAAACTTATATTATTAATTATTATTGGTCTGTATATTTAGAGAGAATTCAATATTTGTGTGATTGAGAACTCTAGAACTCTTTGGGGGGCAACTAGAACTCTAATCATTTTTTTCAAATTTTGATAATAAGGGGCTAGCTTCACATAGATGTGTGTGTGTTATGTGTTTGTGTGCAGTATATCCTATATTTGTGTGTGTCTGTATATGTGAAGTATATCCCTTGTCAAGAGAAATGTTTGTATGTGTTTCCATGTGTGCATATTTCTTTATGTGATGTTTGTGTTAATTCTGGATGGATATTAAAATATGTTGTCTTCTCATTTTGTTGCAGCATCCTCTCGATGTCATTGATGTCCGTGTTGATTATCCCAGGTGGTAGAAGGTGCGATCAATGTAGTATTCCTCTTGTGCTTTGGTTCCTCATCAGATGACGTTTGATAACGCAATGGTTTTTGAACGCTTTTGCCAATCTATACATGTCCATCTATACATGTAAATATACAATAATATATATAATTATATTTTGACGATGATATTTAGTGACTATAAACATTCATATAGAAAATTTCTCTATGGCGGCAATGGTATTCTGTTTGTTGAGATATTGCTAATAGAATATTATTAACACTAATAGATGTACTTTGGATAAGTCATCTACTATTGAAATCTGGCTTATTCAATGCAGAATAATAAACGTACAAAATGTCAAACCAATAGTAGGAATTTATAAAGATGCACAAAAGCCTGATGATCCTATGGCTTTTTTTAAAAAGTTCTTTGCTTCAACATATTTTACTATTCATCCAGAATTACAACATATTTTAATATTCACCCAGAATTAACACAAACACCACATAAAGAAACATGCATACGCATGAAAACACATACAAATATTTCTCTTGACAAGGGATACACTCTACACATACAGATGTATACTAACACAGGATATACTGCTCACACAAACACACATAAATACTGAATTTTCTCTAAACACAGATTAATAATAATATAGTTCTACATTGCATACAAATTATGATAAAACATACTAATAATGCTTTATCTCAATTCCAGGACTTGATGCCAATTATGACGATGTAAGTCAAGCCAGGCAAGATGCATGCCATCAACATCAACATGAATATGCTATCTATGCACAGGACACCCCAGTGCAGAAAGATATTACATATAAAAGGTAGGTTTAATTACAAATAATAAGAAAACTTTAGTGTGAATAAGATATATCTGTTAATAATATTTATGTATAATTACAAATAAAAGAACAAATGAATAATTTGAAAGCAGAAATGAATACATATTGCATATATTGCATATAAATACATAGAATGTACAATATTTTACACTATAACTGTATTTTATATTTTTGTTTCAGAAAAATGAACGGAATATTACAAAAAACTTTGCAATGTGTCCAAGATTGCCATATTGTACCACAGAAACTACATAACCTACCAATTTCAACATTGGAACAAATAGAGGAATTTGAAAATCAAAGTGATGAAAGTTATTCTGAAGCTGTAACATTAATAGTGGTAATTATACAGAATACCTTCCTCACCTCCGATATCAACGAAAAAATATTTAATCGACGCGTTTTTGCAAGAAAAACAACTTTTCTATTTGAAAAAATCGTCGCTCTGCCTTGTGGAGCGAGATATAAATTGTTAAAGTTGATGACAATTTAGGTTAGAAAATCTGTCATAGGCGACAAATAAGCAAGATTCCGGATGGGTTTACAACAGTGATGTCAGATGCAATATATTGCGATGCTACAGCGCATGCATGAGATGACGTAACTCGCTGCTTGAGTAAAAGCCCCAGTATCGTATCTTTTTTAAGGTATTATAGCGCCCGTATTATACTATGTATTGAGAATTGCAATCGAGTAAATTAAATAATCTAAATCGTGGTTATTTTAATTGGTCCGATAGTAATTCTGGTAATTATCCAGTTTAGGGGCTCCGCTTTAAAATTCGATAAAAATAGACTCAATCAACGCGTTTTTTAATAAGGAGCAACTTTTTCCTCTGCGAAAATTGTCGCTCTTCACTGCGAAACGAAATAAAAATAGTTGAAGTTGACTGGTATAATAGGTTAGGAAACCTGTCAAGATTCCGGATGGGTTCGCAACTTTCCACGCGCAACGAGGACGGGGTGGGTGCGGGAGGGGGGTCGAAGGCCCCCTCGCACCCCCCGTGTGTGTGTGTGTGTGTGTGTACATATGTTGAGGCATTTTTATTTATTAAACCAACGAATATTGTACACTCATTAATTTAGTAAAGCAGAAAATTTTAGTACAATTTTAATAAGATAAATTTGAAAGATTAAAAATAAATGTGGAATCGATAGTTATGATCTTTAATTGTTAATAATCTTTTTTATGACGAAACTGATAAGTTAATGACATTTGATGAAAGATATTCACCTTATTAAAATTGTACTAAAATTTTCTGCTTTACTAAATTAATGAGTGTACAATATTCGTTGGTTTAATAAATAAAAATGCCTCAAGCATATGTACACACACACACACACACACGGGGGGTGCGAGGGGGCCTTCGGCCCCCCTCCCGCACCCACCCCGTCCTCGTTGCGCGTGGAAAGTTGCGAACCCATCCGGAATCTTGACAGGTTTCCTAACCTATTATACCAGTCAACTTTAACTATTTTTATTTCGTTTCGCAGTGAAGAGTGACAATTTTCGCAGAGGAAAAAGTTGCTCCTTATTAAAAAACGCGTTGATTGAGTCTATTTTTATCGAATTCTAAGGCGGAGCCCCTAAACTGGATAATTACCGTAATTCTCAATCTATAGTCTAATATGAGTCTAATACAAATATTATGTAACAGTTACATAGTTGAGTGAAAAATTATAATGTTAATGTAACGTAACTGTTACTTAGTATCCATTGGAATTATAACGTTAATGTAACTGATATTTAGTATCGACCGAACAATATAACCTAAGATAAGGCACTCGCGCAAGAAACACGAGAAAACTACGTTGCAACCTGGAAGACAGCTGGGTACCTATTATGGAACTCGTCGGAATCGATTTCGATCAAATTTATTCCGTTATTTCCTAGATTTCTATTGTCTTTTCTAGGGGAAATTATTCCGATCGGAATCGATTCCGACGAGTTCCATAATAGGTACCCTGATCGGATAGCGCGGGCCCCTTCATGGACCCTGCGATAAGCTTTATTGCCGTTATTAGCATAGAGCTCCTACGTCATCTCACGCATGCGTTGTAGCGTCGCAATATATTGCATCTGACATCACTGGTTTACAACTTCCCACGCGCAACGAGGACGGGGAGGGTACGGGAGGAGGGCCGAAGGCCCCCCTTGCACCTCTCCATGTATGTGTGTGTACATATGTTAAGTCATTTTCATTTATTAAACATATGAATTTGTATCAGTGGTTATTACACAATTAAAATAACCACTGATACATGAGCTAAAAATTCATATGTTTAATAAATGAAAATGCCTCACACACACACGCACACACACACACGCACGCACACACACGCGCGCACACACGCACACACACACACACACGCACGCACACACACGCGCACGCACACGCACGCACACACACGCACGCACGCACACACGCACGCACGCACACGCACACGGGGAGGTGCAAGGGGACTCTTCGGCACCCTCCCACACCCTCCCCGTCCTTGTTGCGCGTGGAAAGTTATAACATCGAAAAATCAATATCGGTGTTTATTGACTCGTCGTCCAGGATGATCGCCCTTCAATTTTAAGGACCGCTTGATACAATTTATAACGCAAGTGGTGCAAGTAATACGCGAATTAGGTGAAGATAATTAACAAGTATAAACTAATAACATTTATATATTAATGGTGTATGTACGTGACGTATATATAAAATAATGTAACATAATATAAGACAATATAATATAATGTATATTATAATATTATTTTTAGAAATTTCAAATTTAAATTATTTTTTTTTAAGTTGTATATGTGTACATAACATAAGTTTTTACAAGTAAAATTTATATAAAACTTACCTTTTTAAACAAAAACGTAAAAGGCATCAAGTACAAGCGCAACACGTATAATGTTATTTTTAGAAATTTTAAACTCAAATTACTTTTTTAATGCATATATGTGTACATAACATAAGTTTTTACAAGTAAAACTTATAACTATAATAAAACTCTACAACTCTATTCTACTGTACAAAAGAAGTGATATATTAGAACAGTAGCGTCAATTGAGAAACCTAACTTATATATATGATTATTATATACTTAATATTTTTTAAAATCTCAAATTTTTTGGTGCAGCCGCGCCAAGATTGTATTAAATATTTTTTATTGCATTGTTATAATAATTAATTTGTGATAATAACAAGTAAAATAATCATATAACTCAGTGTTCTAATAAATAATGATAAATTTTACTTGTAAAAATTGATGTCATGGACATTTTTTATAGCTAGGTTCTACTTGAATAACAATGACCTTTAAAAAGATTTTTTTTTAATATTGGACACTATTAAAAACGTGTTAAATTTTGTTTGTTAAATACGATATAATTTTTACTTTTAAAAGCTTATATACATATATATCTTAAAAGAAATATAATTTGATAAGTTTCATTTGTAAAAACTTATGTTATGTACATAATATCAGGTGTAGTAAAAAGAAATCCATTATTTTTGCATGAAATTGAAGGCTTTAATTACCATAGTTAGAATGATCCGATTTAAATCAAATATGTGCCGTTTTGTTCGATAACTTGTTGCCATTTTGAAGGTAATTTCATTATGCCTCTTTCATAAAAGCCCTCGTCCCTATTGGCAAAAAATTGAGACAGTCGATTTTCACAAGCTTCTCTTGAAGCGAATTTTTCACCAGAAAAATTGTTCGCCATGGACAGGAACAGATGGTAATCACTTGGTGCCAGGTCCGGACTATAAGGTGGATGCATAAGAACCTCCCAACCAAGCTCCCGGAGCTTCTGGCGAGTCACTATCGATGTGTGTGTGGCCTGGCGTTGTCCTGATGGAACACAATTCCTCTCCTATTGGCCAAAGCTGGCCGCTTCTGGGCGATTGCTTCCTTCAGACGGTCCAATTATTGACAGTACAGTTCCGAGTTAAGAGTTTTGCCGTAGGGGAGCAGTTCATAGTAGATAATTCCCTGCCAATCCCACCAAACACACAGCAAAACCTTCCTGGCCGTCAATCCTGGCTTGGCCACCGTTTCCGCCGACTCACCGCGATTCGACCACGACCGTTTTCGCTTGACGTTGTCGTGATCCACTTTTCATCACCAGTGACCAACCGCTTCAGAAATGGGTCGATTTTGTTGCGATTCAGCAGCGATTCGCAGATGGAAATTCGGTCCATGAGGTTTTTTTTCGTTAACTCGTGTGGCACCCATACATCGAGCTTCTTTTTGTATCCAGTCTTATTCAAATGGTTCCAAACGGTTTTTTGTGCAATCTTTAGCTCTTGGGCAAACGAAACAGTGCTTACATGACGGTCGGACTCGACAATGTCCATGATTTTATCGATATTTTCGACAATTGGCCTTCCAGTGCGTGGTGCATCTTTGACATCGAAATTACCGGAACGGAATTGACGAAACCAAAGTTGCGCGTGATTGGCTGTTACAATATCAGGACCATAAACACTATTCACATTTTCAGCCGCCTGGCTTGCGTTTTCGCCTTTATCGAAGAAAAACTATAAAATATAGCGTATTTTCTCTTTGCTAGTGTCCATCTTTGACGCGCGCTCAAACAAAACTGAGTCAACTAATCACAAAACTGTCAAAAAAGTTTTTTTAGTACGAAATCTCATCTTTCTAACGCCATCTAGTGGAACCCGATCGGACTTATACAACGCGAGATACAGATAACTAAATCCATCTATTGGAAAAATAATGGATTTCTTTTTACTACACCTGATATATCACTTCTTTTGTACAATAAAATAGTATTGTACAATAGAATAGTATTGTAGGATTTTATTATAGTTTTAAGTTTTACTTGTAAAAACTTATGTTATGTACACATATATAACTTAAAAAAAATAATTTGAATAATTTGAAATTTCTAAAAATAATATTATAACATACATTATATTATATTGTCTTATATTATGTTACATTATTTTATATATACGTCACGTACATACACCATTAATATATAAATGTCATTAATTTATACTTATTTGTTAATTATCTTCACCTAATTCGCATATTACCTGCACCACTTGCGTTATAAATTGTATCAAGCGGTCCTTATAATTGAAAGGCGATCATCCTGGACGACGAGTCAATAAGCACCGGTATTGATTTTTCGATGGTATAGCTCATCACATCGTCTGTTCAGCATCAGCTGACCGGCAATCAAATGACGTGCGTCATAACATACCGTAACGCATATCAACAGTATTCTCACCTTTTTATACCTTTCTCTTTCTCCCCTCTCGCCCGTTCTCTTTCTCGCCTGTTCCCTCTCTCCCTCCCTCCCTCTCTCTTGCCCGTTCTCTCTTCCATTCTCTCACCCGTTTTCTCTCCCGTTCTCCCTCCCGTTTCTCTCCCACTCTTTCTCTCTCTCCCCCTCTCTCTATCTCTCTCTCTTGCTCTCTTTCTCTCTGTCACACATTTTCACCTCCTGTATTCTAGCAATATTCTTCTCTCTCTTACTCTCTATCGCTTGCTCATGCGTACTCGCTACTCTTTGCTTCTTCAGCGCGCTCGTGATGCTTCAAATTCAGCGCTCTCGTAGCGCCCCAGCGGCGCGATTCTTTGGCTGCGTTCCGTTTCACGCATCGAGCACATCGATCGCAACCAATGCGTTGCGCGCATTGATATCGTTCCGTTTTCGTTAATGCGTCTATGCGCTTTTGGAAACGGAACGACTTTTGATGCGTTTGATGTGAAAGGAAAAATGGATGCTACTATGGTCACAATGGACATCGAAACATTGACAACAATAGCCTTATTTTCATTAGTGAATGATGACAACAGAATTAGCAGCAGTAGTAGCAGTAGTAGTAGTGAGTCTATATTTTATCAAGAAATCTTGATCTGTAGAAAAATATTCACACACATGCATTAATTTAAAAATACAATTGAATTGTTTCTAAAATTTAAAAATTTCAATTTTACCTTTCGATGCTCTTAACGCGATCTCTTTTTCGAGAAACATAGTGATCATTTCGTTATCCACTAAGGCCCAGTTCCACAACTTGCTTTAAACGGAGTTTAAACTCCGTTTAAAGCAAGTTGTGGAACTGGGCCTAATACGGGGAATTCAACTTTGTCGACTTTGTCCATTGTACGTATCTGTGATTATCTGTATGTTTAAAATAAAAAAATATCGGTACGTTAAATATATCAGTCGTCACGTCACGTTGTCAGTATTTAAATAGGGTTATATAAAAGATTATAAATACTAATCTGCGCATGCCCGCATCAACTGCTTCTAGTCCGAGCTGTAGTAGCTGATGCGCGCTTAATGCGATGGAGGTGAGGGGATTCTAGGGAATTCTATACGCCACCGATGCACGCATTAGTTGAAACGGAACGGTTCTTGATGCAGTTAATGCGCTCGATACGTGAAACGGAACGCACCCCATAACTCGTTATTGAAGTTAACGACAGTTTTGTTATCGTCGCGCAGCTTTTCTACAGTATACAAAAGCTGCGCAACGATAATGAAAGTGTCGTTAACTCCAATAACGAGTTAAAGGGCCGTATTCATAGTCGGATCTTATATTTAAGACCGTCTTGAGTTCACGTTCAGATATTCTGTAGCCAATGAAATGATCTATACAGCATCTGAAGATGAACTTAAAACGATCTTAAATATAAGACCGGACTATGAATACGGCCCAAAGAATCGCACCACTGGTGTCGGGAAAGCAATATGCACGCATAGCCCCACTCCTTTGCATCCGACGTTTCTTTCTTACTGAATCGAAATTTTCCGTGATTTAGACTTTATCTTAAAATGTCTCCACTTAGAGACAACGTACACAAAAAGCACAAGAACACTTTTCTTCCTATTTTTAAAGGCCGAATCGATTGGGACTAAAAAAACCTCGATCGCTTCAGCCATTGCTGAGATATGAATATCTCACCTCGTTTCAACTCGCAGTTTCGCGTAATAATATATAGGTACTACTGTACCTCTTGAACCCATCTGGAATCTTGCTTATCTGTCGCCTTCGTGACAGATTTCCTAACTTAAATTATCATCAAATTTAACAATTTATATCTCGCTTCACAAGGCAGAGCGACGATTTTTTCAAATAGAAAAGTTGTTTCTCTTGCAAAAAAGCGCCGATTAAATATCTTTTCGTGAATATCGGAGGTGAGAAGGGTATTCTATATAATTACTAAATACAGAATAAAAGGATAGAAAAAGAGTAAAAGGAGCTACAAAAATAAAACATAAAAGCGAAAGACAGAAAAACCCCAGACAACACGGACTTTGAAGAGATATCCTAAGGAA